CCCCAAAAGTTTATAGTGTATTGATATATTCATTCACCACAGAAAATACAACGCATGTGTTTTTTATTTGAATGTTGGGACTGCCCTCCCTTGCCTTTGTGAAGTTCCTCGATCCTCTTACAGAGCGGGCTGTGGCAATCGCCAACACGAAGTCAGGTTCAAACTCAACCCTACTGTGGTGCCAACCCCAACCACGTTACACGAAGTTACAAGATACAGAATTCGTGGAAATTAAGTGACTTTCCGTTCGCCTGGCCAACTCGCGGATCTGTCTATGAAAACGCCTTTGGCTGGAGGAGGCCTCACGGCAGTGGCTATCGATGTGGAGAGGTCGGGGACAATGCAGGATGTACAGAACGCTCGTGAGTGGTTGCAACAGAACTGTATTGGTAACTTAACAAGCTGGGTTCTAAAGTAAATGTTATGATTCATAAGTGATATTTTCATCGGCTGGATCATTACATGGCCTAAATCAACTAATTTGTTTTGATCTGGGAATGTGTGATATAAATTAGAAGTGTGACGGGTGTAAGAGTCGCTGTTCGATTGCACCAAATCATCACTACGGGTACATTAGCCCGGGGACGTACATTTTCACTACTGTACTTTTAATTTAAAGGAAACTATACACGCCAAATAAATATATTGTGAAAACACCCTTGGGCGATGTTCTAGCTTGTCCAACATGAGTTGGATCAAGAGAGCTCTCTAAAATCGCATCCTGTTAGGTTAGAGAGTGATTAAAATCCCCCGTGAAAACAAATATTTCTCCATGTTGTCATGTAGTGACTTTTCAAAAATATCCCTTTTATTTAAAACTGGAATATCTCGAGAAAAAAATCCCTTTGGTATTTTTACTCCTAAGGCAATCGGGTTCGCGTGTTGATGGAGATATTGGTTTGGTTTATTCTAGCACAGGTAAACCCCATTGGGCATTAAAAGCTAATTTACGATGGGGACCTAGTTACACCATAGAAAGCTGGTTACTACAGCAACAAAACATGAATTAAACAATCCAAAAACAAATGTGCGCATTCAAGTTCCAAAATGGCAAGGTCGTACATCAACATGGTACAACACAATAATAAATACAAGGCGAATATAAAGTTCACACGAAATATAAATAGTAAAATGAAAATTCACCAACACAGGCAACAAACAGGCTGCGAATGTGTCTCTGCTCCACACGATGCACGTTTTAATTCAAAGCGATGCCGATGTCACGAGCAGCAGGCGCTCAGCAGCCGGCGAAGCGATCCCTGCCACGGCGGACGTGTCCACCCCGAACACCACCCACACGCAGCAGGGGCGCCGCCTCGAGGGGTTTGTGAAGTCAAGGCGAGTGCTCAGCGCTACCTGATCTTTATGTTATAAACAGGATGCAATAATAATACGATACCAATCTCTCCCAAATTGCAGACAGCTTAGCTGCACCCTCTGTTGCTAAACAGAGGGTGCAGCACTATTACCTCCAAGACAAATCGTTGGCGAACTTTCTCTCCTGGCTTGCAAGCTTGTTTTGCATCATGTCATTGATAGAAGGGTATTTACCCATGCCATAATCAATCACCACATTTTAGCCATCGCTGAGAATGGTGTTTATAGATTTACTTTGTAATCGCAGATTGTTGTTGGAAGAAAATTATGACGGATGAGGGATGCATTGCAAATGGAAGTGATCTCGTATCGAATGCCGCACGGTGCCGCTTCCACATAGTGAGTGATTGTATTTACCAGGAATCTGTTCAGCATCGTGATATCCACCCTGCTGGTGTTATCGGAGATGCTGAAAATAAAAAAAACTCGCCAACCGATCCTCTTCTGATCTTAATTTATCTTTCCATTCCATTACTTTTAAAGGGGGCAAAGTACAATTTATATTTAGAACTGATTTCAGGGTCGGTGATACACTGTGTACGTGTAGGCTTCTCTCTTTACACCTAAATATCTCCCCGCAACATACAGTGAGGGAAAAAAGTATTTTACGTTTGCCCATTGACAAAGAAATTATCAATTCTAGATTTGAAGCTTTCGTGACTGCAAGGATCCATACTCTTTGGTTCTATTCGGTAAAGTCACGTAGGTAAAAAATAAAACAACAAAAATCACGACGTTTCGGCCACAACACAAGTGGCCTTCATCAGGTGAAGGGACCGTACTGTCCAGAGGACAGCATTGGAGTGAAGACAACCAAGCCCAGGTCGCGTTCTTTAAGCTGTGTGGGAGGAAACAAAACACTTTGACAAAGGAATTAGCATAAAATGACCGTAAATCACGTAGAGGACCAGCACGGGGGGGGGGGGGGGAGTTTACAAATGTTGGTGTGAAGGTAAATAAGCTGCTGTGAAAGTTTGGTATACCACTACTTGAATAAATATACTGTACCATTGAAAATTTGTTTAATGTTTGGTATGATTTAGAACATCTTTCCAATGATTGTATACCTGTATAAAAGACACCTGGGAGCCAGAAATCTTTCTGATTGAGAGGGGGTCAAATACTTATTTCACTCATTAAAATGCAAATCAATTTATAACATTTTTTACATGCGTTTTTCTGGATTTTTGTTGTTGTTATTCTCTCACTGTTCAAATAAACCTACCATTAAAATTATAGACTGATCATTTCTTTGTCAGTGGGCAAACGTACAAATCAGCAGGGGATCAAATACTTTTGTCTCTCACTGTGCAAGCCCCACTCCCACAGCTGTGGTAAAAAGCAAATGCCCAGCTCTGAAACTGCTGCCTTCCGCCACTGCTGGCAGAGGGAATCTAACGGGCAACCTCTGCCTGCAAACTCTTTGGTTCTATTGGGTAAAGTCACGTAGGTAAAAAAAAAAATAACAAAAATCACGACGTTTCGGCCACAACACAAGCGGCCTTCATCAGGTGAAGGGACGAGACTGTCTGGAGGACAGCGCTGGAGTGAAAAAAGCCACGCTCAGATCACGACCTTTAAGCTGTGTGAGAAGAAACAAAGCACCTTGACAAAGGAATTAGCATATAATTTAGCATTGAAATGGCTGAGTGATTAGCTTGTGACTGGTCACAGAAATGGCTATGTTAAAGTTAAAGCATACACATCCGCAAAGGCACCCCTTGACAAAGGAATTAGCATAGAATTTAGCATTGAAAGAGCTAAGTTAAAGTATACACATCCGCAGAGGCACCCCTTGACAAAGGAATTAGCATAGAATTTAGCATTGAAACAGCTGAGTGATTAGCTTGTACCTGGTCACAGAAATAGCTATGTTAAAGTCAGAGCATATACATTCACCGAGGCACCTAGTACAAATCAAACAGGATAATTTAGCGAAACACAACCACGCTCAGACCGCAGACCTTTAAGCTGTGTGCGAGCAAACAAGGTGTCCTGACAAAGAAATTAGCATAAAAATTAGCATTTGATTGGCCGATTTTAGAAAAGAGGTGGTGTACGTGCCGGTGGACTTGCCGTTTGGCGCGGGGGGGGGGGAGTTTACCTATTTATGGTGTGAAAAGGGAATTTATAAGAGCTGCGAAAGTTTGGGGTACCACTACTTGAAAAAATATACTGTACCATTGAAATTAGTTTAATGTTTAGTTCGATTTAGAACATCTTTCCAATGGTTGCTTAATTTGAAACCATTTTCTCGGTTGAAATTGTGTCTGTGTTTGTAGATCTGAATTGCCTCGTGAACAAATCTCTGATAAAAACCCGTGGGTTTGCAAAGAACCTTGGTATCGGAGACAATTATATCGTGATCACCCACAGCGTTGCAACAGTGATCAGCCACGGCAGAATAATTCGTTTTGCCGTGTTTCAAATCTGATTTGTGTTCGCGAATTCGGTCAGAGACATGTCGCTTTGTCTCCCCGATATAGCAATCACCGCAGGTACAACTCAATTTGTAAACCCCGGGGTACTGTAAGTCAGGAATGACATCCTTTACGGATGGGATCAGATCACGAATTTTGTGTACTGTATTGAACCGGACCTGGATCTTGTTTGTTTAGAATTTTGGAAATCTTTTTAGTAACGCCTGCTATATATGGTAGTGTGATGGTTTTGACCGGAGTATCAAGTGGTTGTTTCTGTATGGAGGGAGAAACAGCTTGGCGGATGGTACGGTCAGAGTAACCATTCCTTTTGAGGGCCAGGTGTACATGTTTTAATTCAAGTCCAGGCCACCAACCAATACGCCGCTGTAACAGCTCCCGCCGTGTGTCAGTTACAGACGGGGCCACGTTCGAACTTGATCTGAAGCTTTTGTGACTGCAGGAATTACTCTTTGGTTCTTTCGGTAAAGTCACATAGAAATGAAATAAATTAAATAATATAATACGATGTTTCGATTGCCACACAAGCAATCGTCATTAGGTAGAAAACAAACCTAGTGAACTTAGAAATACAATGCAATACAACACAGAGAGTCGGCTAACACAAGTCAACACCTTACCTGGTTGATAAGGTAAGGTGCTGACTGTTGTATTGCAGAAATCCGATGATCTATAAAGCTCTTTTTCACAGATGTTCATTCGGGGCGGGTCAAACCGTTACACAACAAACGATACTCAAACACGATAAGAGTGCAAAGTATAGGAAAGGCAAACAAATAACTTAAACAGACGTACGAATAAAACTAAACAATTTGATTTTAATCTTACTAGGTAAAAAGCCCACTTAACTATTAATTTACGCGACCTGGCCACAAATGATAACTCAGCAAAGTTGCTTCTCATCGCGTGGATATTTACATCAGACAAATTATAATAGCCCCGCTGTCAGGGCGTCCACCCTGGGCTCTGATTGGCTCGCCGGACCCCCCTCCTCCCCTCCCATTTGACCAGACGCCAGAGCTCCTCGCAGCCGATTGGCCTCCTTTGTTGTCATTGGAACTGATCGATGCTTGACCAAATCGGGTTCCGTGCTTGCTCCGCCGATTGGCTGAGCTCGAGCACACACGCTCGTCGCCGATTGGCGCGCGGTGGGCGGGGAGGGGTCGCGGTCAAGTGGCGTCAAAGTCACGTGGGGCAGGCGCGGCGATCACGTGAACGTCACGAGAGGCGAAGATGGCGGCGGAGCGAGAGCCCCCGCCGCTCTTTGACGACGACGAGGAGGAGGAGAAGACGCGTGGCGGTGGCGAGGACGACGAGGAGGAGGAGGAGGGAGACGAGGAGGAGCAGGACGATGGCGCCGACATCTTCACCAGCGTCCTCAGCAACCCCGAGGTAAGCTGGGTTGAGGGCGCGCGGGCCCGGGAGGCCGAGAGCCGGAAGGGCCTCGCGCTCTCGCGAGTGGCGCCGCCGCTGCTGTGACGATGTTGGAGCAGCACCACCAGCAGCAGCAGCTGCTGCTATTGACGGGCACGGTGGAGTATGTGGCGAACAGGACGGCGCATGAACTCGCCAGCCCCTTCATGCACTGTCGGCGTCAGTCCCCCGTGTCAAAGCGCCGGCTGGGTCGCTGTAACGCGGGGGCGGTTACTGCCTCACCGCCACCAGGGTGTTGAGCGGTCGGTCTCCAACTATAGAGACAAGTTAACCCGATCATTTATCCATCCCAACGTCATCTCCTTCAGTATCCCCGTGACCTCCACTGCATCACCACCATCATCGCCACTGTCAGAGTGAAGTCTCAACTTGAAGCCACCGTGCCCACTCCACCACCACCACAACCATCACACGCTGGATTTGGTGGTCTCCACCGTTCCCTTCACTATGACCGCCACTGTCACCAAAAAGGCGGCCACCTCCACCGGTGGTCTCAAGGTTCTTCTGCATTGCAATGCGCGGTCTCAATGTCTGCCACTGGCTGCACGCTTTTAAAAGGGAATTTCCCGACACTAGTGTACTGCTTTATATTCTTGTTTTAATTGGTAGTGTCAGACGATTGCGTTTTAAAATAATATCAATCGCATCTCTTTCCACAAGACAACCTTCTTGAGTCTACTGGATTTTGTGAAAAAGAGCTTCATAGCTCATCGGATTTATCCAGGATAAATAAAGATTCTGATTAAGATTCACGGTCTCCGGATCGGTGTGCACGAGGGTGCAGCATTGGGATGGTTGGTCATTTCCTTCACGAGTAGTGTGCAGGAGGAACTCGCACTGGAGGAACAACACCATCCAGACAGGGTTCGCAATCTGCGTGGTTCGTAATCTTCGAGGTTCGTCTCAATTTCCGGCTAATGACCTTGGAGTCACATCACGAACTCGCAGCGGTTTAGGATTAATCAATTGTCAGTACAGTACTCTGTCGCGGTATTCTTGGGTAATGTTTACTTTGGTAATTTTAGGTAATGTTTAACTCGGTCATCACTGCGCATTGTTCAAATTAGTCATTCCTGGGTAGTTCAAATCTTGATTAATTTTGGCAATGTCAATGCAGTATTATCAATTATTGTATCATGGTAATATTGTGTATCAGTGGGCAGTAATAATATTATACGTTTTTAATTATAATCTTGGAATATGTATTAGAGCGTATGTAACTAAACTGAGATTTAGCACACTTACTGTACAAGATAAATGTGGGTGTTTGCGCGATTTTCTGATTTCCCACGTTAATGGGCTACACTGGTTTACGAAAATAAAGCACTGTACGTGTATCCTGTTTGAGTAAACACTAGACTCGGCAGCAAACACTGCAGCAGCTTGTAGCTCCAGTGGTATTTATACTGTCCGCACACTTACCGGGATAACTTTGCACTTATTATTTTTCTCACAATTGCTAACCACAGGCCCAAAGGCGAAAAAACTTAGAAAGGCCAGCAACAAATAGCACTGTTAAAGTTCAGTGAACACGTTTCCTTGGTTCAGCAATATTACAATAACTGCTGTATGAAAGACATTGGGAGGGAATTCGAAAGTGAAGCAGTATTGTGACCTGCAGTGTGGTGGTTGAACTTATTTCGCACCGTACGTAGCCAACCGTGCTAATCGGAGCTGCAGTGTGGTGGTTTTAAATGGTGTAGATGAACATGAAATAGTTTTTTAGTCCAAGTCTTCAACACGGGTGCAGAATTCAATGAGTGAAACTGATGGGAAGAGTAACCATGGTAGTAGCGACAGAAGAGTGATAAGGAGGCGACTGACCTCTTGCGTGACGAGTGATTCAGCGAGTGCTGGATCATCGGTCACCCTGACTACTGCTTTACTCTAAATCATATCAACTGCAGTGAGGTAGGAACAACCTACTACACCCCGGATATGACGAGCATTCCAACTTAAGCCAAATTTGTGTTTTGTATAGCAATATTTTGGCACGCTTCTTCACTGCCTTTTTAGCCAGATTAGTAATATATCAATACCACGACAGTTCAGATGAGATTGCTGTGTCGCAAAGATCAATGGTTTTACTACGGCGAAGAATATTTTTGTTTAATATGAAGGGAGGAACTCTTGTCATTGCCAGCCGTACATGATTTCAAATGTATAAGAAACAACAATCATTAGGAATTGGTTGACTAAATTTATATTTTGTCAAAGTGGCGTGTGTTGCCGCAATCCTGTGGTAATAGCACCAGGTTTTCGTATGCTGCTACATCGCCAACATCCGCACACAGCTGCTCTCTCACATGGAAATGTGGAATGTCTTGTATTGATTCTAGATTTGAAGCTTTCGTGACTGCAAGGATCCATACTCTTTGGTTCTATTCGGTAAAGTTACGTAACTTTACGAATAGAACCAAAGAGTATGTCTTGTATTGGTTCAGCTCCATCACCGTAGAAGAGAACCAGGCAATGCTCAAACTGCTTTACTGGAAATTAGAACTGGACTTGTTAACAGAGGCTTTGCTTCGTTCTTCCTCACAAATGGCCTCTTTGTTATCCAGCAGTAGTCTTCCATTTGTTCTGCTTCTATCTTTATACGATTACTTTCATTGCCCTGAATTAATACTTTGTTTCACTCAACAGAATCTGATCAGCCCCTTCTCGCCGGAGCCAGCCAGCTTGCTGTCAGAAGAAAGCAGCTCCAAGTCCAATGGGTTGCAAGCTCAGTCCCTGGACACCTCACCTGAGGACGACCCAGATGATCTGTTTGCTGGTGAAGTCTCTTCAACCGAGTAACAACTTTTTACACGTATGAATTTGATTTGTTACCTTCTGTTGGTTTCTGCCTTGTTTGCCAATACAGAATGGTTGCTGTCTTCTATAGAGGCTACGGAGGAGGTGTCTCTAGAAAGCCCCGTCAACAGAATCTCCGTTGCTGCCAACCCAGGGCCCACTGTAAAGCCAAGTCAAGGTGACATGGCGTCATCTTTCAAACCTGATGCCATCACACCCAGCCCTGTCCCTGCAGCCTCCAAGCTCGTGTCCTTTCAGAGGACCCGAGATGAGGTGTGGACAACCGCATCATGGACAAATACAACGAATGCTAACCCCACATTTTACAATCACACACACACATATTGGTGCATACATTGAATAGTTATCGAGTACGCACAAGACAAAGGTCCTTAATGTAGATTTATGGACTGTGAGGGCAAGTGCTGTTTTGATGCTTGGCAGGCACACGAATGGATGGTGTGGCCAGCACAACACACATTGTCCTTTTTCTGGTACAGGAGTTCACACCTTATACCAGATAGTTCATTTATGGCTGAGTCAACCTAGGTGATGCCCAGGACAGGTTCCTATAACACTTGTCACTTATCCCAATGCCAGGTTGCTGGGAGCGTAGCCCAATGTGTGAACCACAGTTGCTGTAATGCGGATCAACACACACAGTCGAGTGAGTGCAAGTGTGTGAGCCTGTGTACCAGCATGCATGTGCAGACTTGCAGTCAAACAGTGGAATGTGATTTTGGGTGTGGTACATAAACTGTGTTTGCCAGCTGTGGATTCCTAGGCATCACAAGCACTAAGAATGAGGCTACTGACTCTGCAGGATCATTAGCCTCTGATTTAGGATTATTGACCAGGCTTCAAGCCACTAATGCTGGAAATAGTAGTTTTTATTTTAATAAACATCACATCATTCTCATGGATCAGCCAGTTATGTTCTATCACACCGGGAAAGGAACAATATAATTTTAGTAGCCATTTCATAAAGTGTGTAAAACGAAAACGTGCTGATTTCCCATGTTGTAACCCATTGAAACGCTGAGAAGAATAACATTAAGACAATAACTACCTCAATTCTAATATAATGGGTTAGAATCACTCGTGTCTTCTCATTAATTCAAATCGTTGCTTGAAATCCAGTCTTGTGGAAAAATATATTTTGAGTTCTGTGTCACTTTTGCTAAATGTTTGTACTAACTGGAGGCATTTGCATATTAACAGGACTGTAGGGACTGATCACCAGACTTCAACCACATTTGTTGTCTAATGTGAGATGATTCAAGTGCATTATACCCTGCAAAAATGTGAGAATTGTAATGCCCTACTGAAATAATTATCGAAATAAATAATATCAAGGGCAAGACTAATGTTGTTCATTCAAGCATTTGTCTCTTGATGTTAGATTGAAGAGGAAGAAAGTGGAGACACCTTTGACCTTCGAATAACAATTACAAACCCAGAGAAAGTTGGTGAGTGCTTATTGTTTCTGCATGTATAATAACGCACTTATTGTAGTACTCTTCGTTAGCTGGAATTAATGCAAGTGTAGTGGCCTTATTGACGTCGGAGACTGTTCTTTGGAGGCAACATGTATTTATTACAGACACTTCAATTACAGTGGCGAATCTGATACTTGAAGAGGTAACGGCCTCTTCACCCGTACTCTATAGAGGGAACGTTTCCCGAGCTTTAGCCCACGCTAGCTCCCTGGTTCCCTCTATCCTGGGCCAGGTCAGCCGAAGCTGACTTGGTCCAGCTTTGGCGCAGGTCCCGATCACCAGCCACACGAGTCCGGCCCTTAGAAGGACACAGGGCCTCGCGGTTCTGATGTCACACCCTGGCTTGCTTTGCCCGGCCCTCAAAAGGATAGCGGGTCAAAGGAGTTCCAGGGTCTAGCTAATCGATCTTCTTTCTTTACTGGCTCTTCATCTTGCTTGAGTCGAACTGCCCCTCAGCTCTCCGGGTCCCACCTTTTATACAGTCCCTCTCTGAGGGGTGGGGCTGGGAGGGATCCACAGCATCCCCCACAGCCCCCCAGGGTGGTAGCCGTAGCGGACGTGTTTGTGGCCACCGCCCTACAACCGCGTGTCCCCCTCCCGTAACACCTCTACACAAGTGTTTAGGGATTTGTTTGTTTTACACAGTATATTTTCTCTCTTTAGGTGATGGAATGAATGCATACATGGCTTACAATGTCACTACTACGGTAAGAATTGCACATCATAGGTTTACTGTATTCTTGTATTCAATGGCACTGCGCGTTGCCTCGTTACGGTCGCCTGACCGCGTGCCAGCCAAGCCGCTCCTCGACGGGTAGAGCGCCATTGTGTGTGGCCACTCGAGCGCCCACTCCGTGTCCTCCCTGCAAGTGCAGCTCTCCACGACCTGAGGGTGCGATTCCAGAGCAAACTTGAAAATATTATTCTAATTCATTCTGCAGGTTTTATTTATTTATACTTCAACACCATTAACATTCTTTAATTCGCGATAGAAACCCACGGCGGTGTAGTAGCGAGGCAGTCACTTGTCAGGACGCAAAGCTACAACACAGCAACGACAAACCCTTCCCCGAGCAGTTGGAGCAAAGCAAGAAGGAAATGATGTGAAAAGGAAACGGTACGCGTCGCACTTTTTGGCTCTGCGTGAACACGCAGGTGTTGAATGGCCTCTTAACGACGTTGCGCCAGTCAACCAACACGGCTCTTGGAAGCTGCACATGCCTCAAGCTAGATTTCTAAAACCTGAGTACTTTTCAACAATTGTCATGGAATCACCCTTGAAAAGCGGAGACGTGAGGAGATGTGAGGGAGACGCGTGGAGCGTAAGGCCGCTCGTGCGATCGAATCGGAGCATGCTGCATCGCTTGCTTGAGAAACCTCCAGTATAAGAAAGGAGCTGGAAAACCTCCAGTTGGGGCAGTATTTTTCACTTGCACGTGTAACAACATAATAGTGGAGTTACTCTGTGGTTCTTTCGGTAAAGTCACGTAGAAAGAAAATAAATTAAATAATTATAGTGGAGATTTTATCAATCACGTCATTTCGCAATCTTTATAATCCAAGCGATGAGACAATAGACACGGAAGGAGGCAAGAAACAAGTATGGGATCATGAGCTTTCACTGTATGCAAACAGGTTGGATGTTGGTTTCATCACCACAGTAAAATAACATTGCCCCTATGCATCAATGTTTTCCAGCTGTATTTAAACAAAGAAAACCCTGGGTCACTGTTCCCGTTGTTATGACGATAGGAGAATCGGCCATCCTCTAACACGAGGCTGAAGCCCGGAGTGTGTGCGGTTCGCGGATGTGACACTTTGAAACTCAAAGCAAGGGGTGCCCTGACCCCGTTCCATCTGCAAGAAGAGTGCCCTTGATTTTATGGGAGTTGCCTGTAGAGAGTGCACCTCCAGGCAAGGCAGCAGAGGAGACCAACGAACGCGTGCGTCATTCTAGATGTGAACAAGGGGGCCCTTGCGTCCATTATCGCAATCTCGTGCTCCAGAAAAGCTGCCTTAAAATTTCTAATTATGTTGCATTTATATATTGCAACCTCTAATGACTATTGAAGGTTAAATTGCTTATCGACCCAAAACCGTATACTCACGGCGTTGTTGTGGTTAAAAAAAGAGTAGGTAGTGAACGTTAAAGCCTTAATTTGTCTGGCATCCTTGCTTCAGTCAATCAACACTTACCCCACATGCCCAACGTGCACAGGAAAGCTTCCTCCCGCAGTCCTTGCAGGGACCACGGAACTAATTGGACTTGTTCATTTCACTCCCGAGCAGTGGCCATAAGAGGGCAGTCTATTACACTGCAGAGATGACCCTGCACTCGGTGCACTGCCTGAGAATCCCGCACCGCATTTTGCTAGATTATGCGTCGTGATTTTTCTAACCCAACATGCTGGACGTGTTCATGCTGTGCGGTTGGCAGAGCTGTTATCTCCTTGAACGGCACATTTACTTGTAAAAGAGATGCTGTAAAATTGTATTGCCACGTTTAATGTGTTATACTTGTCAACGCATGTCTATTGAGAACACAGCAGCAGCGTGGGGGCTGTGTGTGCCTTTTCCCGCGTGTTTCATTGTAACGGTTGCCTCGCATTCTTATTGCAGACCTCGCTGCCCATGTTCAAAAGGAAGGAATTCACAGTGAAGCGGAGATTCAGCGACTTCCTGGGCCTCTACGAGAAGCTGACGGAGAAATTCAGTCACAGTGGCTTCATCGTGCCACCCGCACCAGAGAAGAGCGTCTTAGGTGACCCGCGGCACATTTATCTCGCACCGTGATCGTAACGCAGTGGGCTGAAGCGCACCTTGAGCACGCCGATCCGGACTGTGCGCGCACGGTTACACGCGGACTGCGCGTGCTCGGTTACACCCAGACTTGCACTCTCGCGGCTACAGGCGGACGCTCGCGTTAGCAACGCGCTCAGCCCCACGTGCTCGCGCTCTGCCTGTAGCATGCAGAGCCCGCATCTCCGATTAGCATGGTTGGCTATGTATGGTACGAAAGAAGTTCAACATACATACGTGGATTTTTAGTGTAGGTAATCTTTCCCACAAAATGTATACATTTCTGATCAATGGTATTGGTGGATTGTGTGTCAAGTAGCTATGGTGTCATGAAACCATAAGAAAATACCCTCGGACGGACAGTTTAATGCATGTATTGTTTTCAGGACGTAGCAAATACGTTTGTAGGCCTCCTTAACCAAACATTCGTCCGCATGTCCATCTTTTGAACTTTACGCAGGTATGACCAAAGTGAAAGTGGGCAAGGACGACCCTTCGTCTGTTGAGTTTGTGGAGAGGAGGCGCGCTGCTTTGGAGAGGTACGGGCTTGAGCAGTGCAAGCCATACGTTCACATTGAACAGTCTTGTGTCACAAAGATGATTTTGTCCGTTTCATTGAGTAATTTTACTGTGCTCCGAGTGCATAAATTATCTGTTTTATATCTTTGGCAGATATCTCCAGAGAACTTCAAAACATCCTACCCTCATGCAAGATCCAGACTTCAGGGATTTCTTGGAAAGAGATGAGGTATTACAAAGTGAATGAGCTCATGCAGCAGGACTCACCCTGCGTGTGTTGTTCTCTCGTGTGTCCTGTTATTGCTCCGGATATCGGGGATGCGCGATCCCTCCTGTGGTCCACTATGCCACTGAGCACGAATAGCTGAGTTTGTAAACACACCGTCACGACTCCGCACTGTGATGAGCGCCCCCTGGGTGGGTGCTGACATGAAACATTTAGATATCTGCGTGTTTCCGCCCACGTAAAGAAATTAATCGTTCGTCCACTGCGCGTTTTCTCATTTGCTTGCAGCTTCCTCGAGCGGTTAACACTCAGGCCCTGAGTGGGGCGGGCATCCTGCGCATGGTGACCAAAGCGGCAGATGCCGTCAACAAGATGACCATCAAGATGAACGAGTCGGACTCGGTAAGGGGCCTGCCCCCGCGATCGCCCGTGCGCTCGAACGCCGAGATGCCAGGCGGCCGAGTCTGCGGCCAGTCGTGTTATCTAGATTATTTTAAACAAAGGTCGGTGGGGTCGCCCATTGGCCCAGCAGCAGCAGTAGCGGAGCGCAATATGGTGGCTGGCAACACAACAGCGAGCGTGACAGTGAGAGATTGAGTTTGCTTGTCAGGAAGTCTGACGTGGTTCTTGTGTGGAACGGGATGGCATTACCCCAATCTTGTTTCACTTTCCCTGGCACGAGTGGAACTTGCATTGCAAGAGAAGGACATGACAGGGAGGGGTGGATGTGGACAGGCAATTGGGGGGAGGGGGGGAGCAAGTTTACGGCACATCTTGATGATCTTGAGGGGGATCTTGTGGTTGATTGGGGATTTGATTTGGAGGCACTGGAAGGATTTGAGGATCGGAGTGATGTCTGCAGGTGCATGCATCTTTTGGAAGCTTGGTGTGATATTGAATAATGACAGTGTCAGCGTGGACATTGCTTGGCCGTGCTCACCTGGCGGTGTCTTCACAGTGGTTTGAGGAGAAACAACTGGAGTTTGAAAACCTTGAAACGCAGCTGCGCAAGCTTCACGGCAACTTTGAGGGACTGGTCAATCATCGGAAAGGTTTGAGGAGAACATTTAATTTGTCTTTGCTTTGTTTAAGATGGGCACCACACATCATCCCCTGTAGCTTGAGAGAGAGGCATCCTGTAAGTGAAATGCAACTTGCAGTTGATTCTCACAAACATTAAAATGGCGTGAAAATCGGCGTTCCCTCATCTCGATGGAACAGGGCCTGAGAGCTCTCCTGGCAGCAGTGTTCTGCTGGAGTTTCAGGAAAGTGGAGTGGAGCTGTGATTATGCACACCACTTCGTAACAGAGATAGAAATCGGTATCACTAACAGAGCTTGGGTGATTGTCTCGATTCTTAGCCCTGAATCATAATTCGATCCTTAGAATCTAAATGCAGTTCCTAATGGGATCGGCAGAATCATTGTTGGGTGGCACCAGGCTGCCTGGGGTCTGGCAACAAGGGGAATTCTCATTGAGCCCTCATGATAACACGAGCTTCTTTATGACAGGATGTGGGTTACTGGTCTCTGACATTGATTATAAGGACTTCACACGCAACTCATTGTGTAAAACAGGGCTTTTATATTGATTTGGCCTTAACATCTCTGAAATAGCTGACAACTTCACAGCTCTGCGCTGTAGTCCTGTCTGATAACACAACGCTATGTCAGGCTACGCTGACTTTGCAGCACCGTTTCACCTTAATATGTTTGCCTCCCCATTGTCACCAGAAAGCTGGCAGTAAACTACATCTGCAGTTAACCAGGCCAAAATACGCGTTTAGTTTTCAGGCATGCCTGGTCATAACTGAAAACTGTCTTATTGCCCAATTTAGTCAAGACTTTCACGTGTAAAATTGACATGTCCGGCTTCTTTCCTCAACTACTCATAAACACATGCCTGCAATTAAATTCCATGGGATAATGCAAAATAAAAGTTACTCTTGGCTGTGTACTTGAAGCAGGTCAAAAGCCAAAGTGATGTTCTGCTCAAATAAGCACTGAGATGATGCTCATCTCCTGTTTACAGCCCTGAGCCAGAAGTGGAAGTTCCATCCCATATTTCTATGATGGGAGCAAGTTTAACGATAGGACAACTGCTGTTCGCCTATTCATTGTATTGACCCTGGAGGGCACGATGGGCTGAGTCCAACCCCGACCACGACTGAAGTCGCATCTTTCCGATTGCGAGCCGCCCGCTTTACCGCCGTGCCGCTGACGGATGAAATGAAAAACTGGACGCCGATTATGCCGCCAGGAAACGGGGGCGCAGCACCGCGTTGTTCACGGCCTCGTCCGTCTCTGCAGAGATGTCCTTGAACACGGCCGCGTTTGCCAAGAGCGCGGCCATGCTGGGAAACTCGGAGGACAACACGGCGCTGTCACGGGCCCTCTCGCAGCTGGCGGAGGTGGAGGAGAAGATCGACGCCCTGCACCAGGAGCAGGCCAACGCCGACCTCTACGTCTTCGCCGAGCTGCTCGCCGACTACATCCGCCTGCTCACCTCCATCCGGGTACGCACGACACGCGCCCGGTAGCGCGCGTGGAATTTAACCTCCCTCCATAACCTCGAGGCCACGAGGCGAACTCACAGTTTGCGTGCGTTCCGTTCGTTCTTGCCGCAGGGCGTGTTTGACCAGCGGGCGAAGAGTTGGCAGAGGTGGCAGGACGCACAGGCCAACCTGCACAAGAAGCGCGAGAACGAGGCCAAGCTACAGTGGGCCAACAAGCCAGACAAGCTGCAGCAGGCCAAGGACGAGATCCGCGAGGTTTGGCCGCCGACCTCACACACGGCCATGGGGCGGGCCCAGGAGCTGCCGCGGGGTTTATCGCAGGGTCCAGTTATCCCGCCCTAGATATCGGTTCCGTTAATGGCTTCCGGCAGCTGTGTTCTGCGGGATTCGTGCAGCACCCCGCGCGCTGCTCTGTGAATGATCGGCCAGTCGTGAGACAGTGATGGGTCCGGTTGTGCCCAGCATTTGCCCCGTTTAGCTAGGTTTTATCGATTAATCTCCTCAGCAATTTGATGAATTGTCACATTTTAAGGGTCAAAATCTCATTCAGTAATCGATTATTTAAGTAGCGTAAATTTTTATATTTTTTGCATCGATAGTAAATAATGGATTTTACCAAATAATTGTTTCTCATGTTCTGATCCCCAATGCCTGCATCATTGTGTGTTTTGTAGGTAATGTGCAGATACAAAGGAGTTGGTGTGGCTGTGTGTGTCGGCGGCTGATTGCTGTAGCTCGCGTGCACGCACCGCAGTGTAAACACCACCCCAGGGAGACGTTAGTTCTCGAGCCGGTGCTCCTGGGCGCCGCATTCGATGGGGGAAATCCACCATCACGTTCCTCGAGTGAGGCGGTGTGGAAGAAAGCAGCACAACGGTTGCATCCGGGTCACTGACCAGACCAAGCGTTGTAACCGGATGTGGCGGCGTGTGGTGGTGTTTGGTTGTTATCTGACTTTGCGAGCAGTGGGATGCCAAGGTGCAGCAAGGAGAGAGCGAGTTTGAAATCGTCTCAAAGACCATCAGGAAGGAGGTCATGAGATTTGAGGTGCCTGCATTGCACGTCTTCTTTGTGTGTGATTACATTTCGTCCCATAATTGCAAAATATATTATTTCAAAGGTGATATCTTCCATGAGATTGTTATCTCAATTATACGTATTTATTTAATGCAATTTAAAAAAATGTCTTGCCTTACAGAAAGAACGTGTCAGGGACTTCAAGAATGGGATTGTCAGATACATTGAGTCTCTTATAAACACTGAGCAACAGGTAAATGTTATCAGCACTTGTGATGGGCCAAATTAATTGCTTCATGAATATCTCACATCAGATGAAGTTGGGGAAATCTTAAAATATTGCATGGCAAAAACAGAGTGAGTCGGTAAGATGCCATTTTTATTTGTACATGCTGGAAAAAGACAAAAGTAAGTGTTGCTAATGTGGAAATGAGCTGGAAAGGGCAACGATTAATAGGAGAGTTGCACCGCTGGGAGTGGTGCAACTGGTGAATGCATCTTGGCCAATGAGATGGGAATGCATCTGAGTTGGGTGACACGTGGAGGCGACTGTCTATTGAGACTCGGTTTGTAGGAGTTGTAAAGGAGTAGGCGGAGAGCGGTGCCAGAGGGAGCGTGACCTGACCCCTGACCCCACGGTGCTCCTGGCGCTGGGGGTGAGCGCTCAACGCTGGGGTTTCGGTGCATTGTGGGAGGTGTTTACAACCTGCTCAGCCTGCTCAGTGGGTGGTGACTATTCTTGGTGAACTCCACGAATGTAGAACAATAATTCCATGTTTAACGGGCTTCATGCAGAGTGGCGGGGCAGTGATTGAGCGCCACCTATCGCTGTGTGAAGGGAGCCAGGAGCCTGATTGGTTTGAAAGCCTCCAGAGGCACGAGGGGGTAGCGGCAGTTGGAATGAAAATTCCGCAATCGTTGGTCACCTCGTGTTCTATTTTGCAGTCCACCACTCACGTTCTCGGTGTGCGAGTTGTAAAACTGTCGCTCATTGTAATCCCCGGTGTTCTTTGTTGTTCCAGCTGATCAAATACTGGGAGGCCTTTCTGCCTGAAGCTAAGGCTATTGCTTAATTCCACGAGCTCTCCTCCAAGGCTGTGGATGCTGAAAGGGACAGGACTGCTTCAAGTAAACAATCGTACTCGTGCCCTTAATCGGACGTAGGGTTGAGGATTTGTCTGAGAGTCCAGGTGGCATATTCTCCCTCCCTCTATAAACATTGTATAAAGTTAATCAGAGTATGTGGTTTGTACACGCGTCTCGTTATTTTTCAGCTTTTTATACAAAACATTAAAGATTAAAGATGTTTGTTTTTCATCGAAGCTAATTATTGATCTCTTTGTTGATTGTGCACACAAGTTTGGATCTTGACCTCGCAGCGGCAGTTGGTAGCTCGGGCAACAGGCAAATCGCGTTTCCCTGTAATTGTTGATTACACGTGCATTGACGGTCCCGGTGAACTGGCGTGCACTTGGTACCAGTTAGCTGGGAGAATTCCCTATGAATGAGTGGTTTACCAAACGAAGCTGCACCTAGCCCCGAGGTTGTAAATTCGAATTGCTCACATGTTCACCACAGATGTATATTTTGGAAATGTTTGACATTAAATCAATAAAATCATCACTTCTAAATCTGTACTCCATTATATCTGCAGTGACGTTGCCTTAATAAACACACTTGTTAAACTTTGTAACATCTGGATTTCCCATTGACAGTTTTTCAACTGAGAGCTGACTTTCGTCATTTTAAATGCATTTCACGCGAAAATATTTTTGAACAAAGCCTTCACAACTGCAACAGCACAGGAAATGTTTATCTTGGTTAGTGTGTGCAGTGGAACATTACTAAGGCCTCTTTAGCTAATTCGATGGGGATTGAGTGGGACGTGCCAACCCAGCTTGGTAGCAGAACCGTTCCTCTGAACTCCACAGAGCACCCCACCATCCTTGGTGACCGTGTAGCCTCGCTCCACGTATGCCCATGCCTTGTGCTCATCCGCTGCTGAATGAGGGAGCTCCTCACGCCGATGGGTTCTTTCACCGTGCCGCTCGCTACAGGTGGTGAAGGTGGAGAGCATCCACTTGAAGGGAATATAGAAGCACAGTACAACACTGGACTATGCTACACTGAGCTCTGCTGCAAACATAGCCTCGCAGTCTCTAACGCCTGTTATATCTGGTGGAGGCCTCTCCGAGGACAATCCAGATCTGACAAGATCGGGCACGTGCCAGGTGAATTTGTCTTCGACTCGATACCTGCTGTGCATCGTTTCGTACATATACTGTTGACTTTGCAATTAAAGCAGGAGGCACACTCAAGAGAGAATGTAAACACCGTACAGTGAAAAGCGTGTGCTTCGCCCACATTCTTTCAAAGCTTTACGCTGAACAGATGGCTTGTTGCCCTTTGCCCTGCAGAAAGCTCAGGGTCACATTAAGCTCATTTTCTCAGAGATAAGTAGGGGCCCGGCCTTATTTATGCTGTCCCTGGATATATGCTGCTCTGACCGCGAATGCACACGAATGCCTATTAAGTGGTTCTCTTGAAGTGATCAATAGGCGGGGCAGACAAACAGCTTTGCTCACACCAAGGATTCAATCTAACAATCGATGGCAATATTTTATTAAGCAGGAAGAAACTGCAGCGGTAGTCGTGCGTCATTGTACATCGTGCTCCCTGCAGCCATTAGCGCCAGGGTGATGTGTCCGTCCGAGGCCGGGGTGAGCAGTCCGCGTCAGGCATGGCGATGTCCGCAGCTCGCTGGGTGTCCGGGTCGCTCCGAGCGTCGCGACTGACGTGACGAATAATGACTTCCCTCCGTATGTTCGTACAAGCCGTAACAGTGCCCCGTGTCATTCGCATCGACGCATTCGGTGAGATATCGGAGTTGTTTCAAGTTGAAATGTGCCGGCAATAGTTCTAAAACGTATTTAGCAGCCCGGCTAATCAGTGGATTGTAAAAAGAATCGAGCATCGAGGTTGCCTTTTCATTTACATCTGTCATGTGCAATGACAGCCCCAATTACACGCTTTGGTGCGTCTCTATCAAACATTGGGCTGCATTGCCTCCTGGATTAGCCCGTGTTCGATACGCGGTGCGGATAAAGCCGTTTCCTGATAAGGAGACGTGGTCAGACAGCAAAATACATCGTCTGTATCTCAAATGTGTCCTCGCGTACCTTAGTGGCGTAGTGAGCGTGGGGGGCATAGGACGGGTGGGGTGCCTTGCCCCAACCCCTGGTGGCCAAAGCTACGCGTTGGGGCCCCCTTGACAACCAACAACATTGTCAAAGAACAGCAACTCATTTAAAACGCGGTTTACATTTATTTGTTGTGAAAATGCTTTCATTTACGTTCCACTTTTTTATTTCATTAGAGCAGTAAAGTTCGGCTTCTGCAAATTGCGCAAATCAAATATGGGGGCCCCACCTGAGAAATTGCTGCACCCCCTGAGCTGATAATGTCGTGACTACACCACTGATAGTGTCGTGACTACACCACTGATAATGTTGTGACTACACCACTGATGTCGTGACTACATCACTGATAGTGTCGTGACTACACTACTGATAGTGTCGTGACTACACTACTGATAGTGTCGTGACTACATCACTGATAGTGTCGTGACTGCACCACCTGTCAGTCACCAGTCAACTGTCAAGTCACCAGTTACCAGCCACCTGTCAGTCACCAGCCACCTGTCAGTCACCAGCCACCTGTCAGTCACCAGCCACCTGTCAGTCATCAGTCACCAGTCACCTGTCAGTCACCAGCCACCTGTCAGTCACCAGCCACCTGTCAGTCACCAGTCACCTGTCAGTCACCAGCCACCTGTCAGTCACCAGCCACCTGTCAATCAAAGTGACCTCCCGCGCGGCAGCACCGGGACCACCGCCGCGACCGCGCGGCCTGGGGCCGCGGGGGGCCGCTGTGACGGCGCGGCGCGTGGCACCCCCCCGCGAAGTAAATGTGCACCCCAAACAAAAGCGGCCCGGCCACACCTGTGGGCCCGGCCACACCCGTGGGCCCGGCCACACCCGTGGGCCCGGCCACACCCGTGGGCTCGGCCACACCCGGGGGATCGGCCACACCCGTGAGCTCGGCCACACCCGTGGGCCCGGCCACACCCGTGGGCCCGGCCACACCTGTCGGCGCGGCCACACCTTTCGGCGCGGCCACACCTGTGGGCCTGGCCATACCTGTCAACTGACTCGGACCCCGCAGATTCGCGCCGCCGCCACCCGGCGGGCCCAGGTGACCAGGTGCCTCCGCACCTCCGATCAGCACCGTTGGCTACGTACGGTGCGAAATAAGTCCGACGCACGTACAGGGACCCGCTTGTTGCAGTCACGTCAAGTTAGTTTGTGCAACCAGATTAGGGGGACTCGAGAGACCAGGTTGGAGTCCGATTTGTGAGATTGAGCCGGGGCTCTAAAATGACAAAAATAAAATCTGACTATCGCCTGATGAAGCTAGTGTAACTACTGGCGATACGTCATACTCAGATTGTGCATGTAGATTTGCTCTCCAACACACCGGAATGCTGTACTAATAACGATTGGCACGTTTTGTTTACGTGACAATCCTTACTAGTTGGCTGTGTCGGGTGGTGGCGAGTTTAATGACATATTTACGGAAAACTAATGAAGTAAAGCAACGCGGCGAATAGAAGTCGGCACAAGCCACTCCGTCATCGCACGTGGAATGAAGAGGCACATCGCACGAGGAATGAAGAGGCACATCGCACGAGGAATGAAGAGGCACATCGCACGTACGGCGAGGAGCTGGGTGTGGCTCGCGGCAGGGCCGCCTCAGTTGCCCGTTCCGACTCTGGCAGCGACACACGTGGTGCGGTCCTCCACACGACGTCACAGAATTGCGAATCGCTGCTGTTCGACTCTGCTGGGCCGATGCAATTGTGTTGTTCTCCTGGTACTACTCACACATTTCTCAATGCTCCCAGCGTGCACCAACCCGTAATGTCCAGCACGGTGCAGTATGTCAAGCACGCTCCTGGATGAGAGAAGCCTCCGATTCAGCACGGGTTTACACAAAGGATGTACACACACTGTGCTCTCAGTGAAGATGAGTGTGTATTTTTCATTCATATATTTTCTAAAATCAATGACTTTAGGTCACAGTGGATGACCAATACGCAGCAATAAGCTACACATTACACAGTCCGTACAATTAGACGGCTCTAATGAGGAGGCTCCAGCGAGGATATGGAAACGTGCAGGTCGCCTATAGGCCGGGGCTGTGTTGATGGGGCGCAGGATTATTTTAAGAAAAAACAATTCCCAGATTCGTTGTCAAATCCACTGCGTTCTGTCGCCTCCCGCTGGAAGCAAAGTGGTGGATGCGTTCAGGCGCCGCTCGCCACTAGGGGGGCGTTGAGACACCGTCACACCAAGCAGCTGGAGGTGAGAAATGATTTTTCTCATATAAAAAATACTTTTCTACAAATTGTTTAGTTGTGTTTAAATAAATCTAAATATAATGATTCTTTCAACGTGAATTTCCTAATGAAGATAACATTTTAAGTTGTTCATATTCGAAACCGCTGCTGCAGCACCACAGTCTGAGCTGTGCCTCGGGGAGGTCTCGGGGCTGCTGTGAAGGCGTCCTCCGAGGGAGAGGTTTCCCTTCTTCGTTCACTGCGGCGAGCAGCTTCCAGCGGTGGAGCCACGCCGCTTGAGAGACATTGAGGTCGGTGAAGAAGGCGCCCGTGGCTGTGATGAGACGACGATGTCGCAACGCGAGGTGGCACTGTGCAAATAGAGCAGCTCACGGTCCACACCTTCTAGGCTTTTGGCAGTGTCAAAGGTGTTGTGTAGTGCGGACTTGAGGGTCATGGGGACGGCATTCGAGTGCTTTGTTATGTTTCGTATTGTTTATAAACGCCAGACCGTTGGTAGATAAGACAGTTGTATCACTTTCACAGGAAGCCCAATAACATGACGACGTTTTGCTGATTGAGAAGACCAGATTATCAGAGGTCGCTCACAACAGCCCCAGCTCGTGGAGAAGTCGCGAGCCGCCACTGGATGAGTTTATGAACTCGTCTACCGCCAGGGATATTTGGACGACGTGAAAGCCTCTATCGGCCACAAACATGGAATCGATGCCATCGAAAGGAGGAGCTGTTGCCACCTCGGGTGCGCCCTCTCGACCTGGGGTGTGGCGGTGAACTCTGTGGTGGCCACATCGCACACACGTGGCTTGGGTTTGTAGACTGCGTGTGTTCATGAGATGTATTGCATGACTTTAAAATCTTTCACAAAGACATGTTTTAGTCGTTTTGTGTATCTAGAGGCATTTGCACTTTACTCTTAAATGCATTGAGCTCTTGGCTTTTCGTTCTAATGAAGATTAATTTGGCACTTCAAAGTATTTCGCCTAAGATTAAGTGTTGATAACTCAGACACTTTTTAAACATAAACATGAAACTTCAACTCTGTTGCCTCATTGATGTATCTCAGCCCATCACGTGTCACAGTAGATGTTGGTTGAGCGCTTTTCTCTCTAACCCACGTGGTGTTTGTTTGGGCTATCTGTTTGGACAGAAACGTACCCCACGAACACAGATCATTCATCTTTGTTAACGAATGAATAGAGCATTGAGGAAACCACTTTGAATTCTATTCAAAGTGATGTGTGGGTCTGGTGTTCTCTGTTACAGGTGTAGTGACT